GCCGGTTGAGCTATAGGCGCCGAGCCAGTGGCCTGGTCCTTGCTTGCAGATGGCAGTGGGACTGGCTTGAGGGATGCTGCTGGGGAAAATCAAAGAGCTCAGCAATTCTGCTTTGTGCTATCTTAGGCAGAAATAACTTCCCTACTTATCATCCCCCTTCCTCCACCAAAAGCCTGAGAAATGAGACATGATTGCTGTTAAAAGAGCACTTGGAGTACCGTAATAACCACCAAATGTACTGTCCCACCTTGTTCTTTCAGTGGCTGAGGGATTTAAAGCAGACCAGAGTACATGATGCTTACCCCTTTTAAGTCTGAAGGACCATGCTGTTGCTCCTAAAACACCTACCTTGTACCTGGTTTCTAAGATTACGCCTGTATTTCTTAGTTGTTGAAAGTCACCTGTGCCATTATTTCCACACACTTTCTTACCCTCTCTCTACCCTTCCTCACTCCTGATGGTCTTTTTCCACGCTGTTTCAGGGCTCATTGTTGGGGTGATCCTGAGGTATGGTACCCCTGCCACCAGTGGCCGTGACAAGTCACTCAGCTGCACTCAGGAAGACAGGGCCTTCAGCACCTTATTAGTAAATGTCAGTGGGAAGTTCTTCGAATATACCCTGAAAGGCGAGATCAGCCCTGGCAAGATCAACAACGTGGAGCAGAATGACATGCTGCGGAAGGTGAGTTGGGGGATGTTCAGCTATCACTGTCCTTGATATGTTTGTTGAGTCCCCGACTCATCTTGACCTTTGTAGAGAGAAATCTTTCCAAATTCCTGGAATATCCATAATATTCCCAGATCTCCATTTTGTTAAGAAGCTTTTGGGCCAAGAAGGGACCAGATTTTAACTGGAGCCGTTCACCTTCGAATCTCCTCTGGCTTGTTAGTTAGAACCTGTAGCTGATGTGGGCCATTAATTGTGTAGTGGCTTTGTATGTCCCCATTCAGCTCGTTTCTCCGGCCACCATCTCTTCTTCACTATGTCTCTTATTCTTGCTGTGGTTTAGGGTTGAGATCGATTCTTTATTAAAATAAGATTATTTTTTATTTTTTACTTTTTCGAGACAGGTTACTCTGTTCCCTAGGCTAGAGTGCTCTGGTGTCATCTTAGTTCACTGCAGCCTGCAACTCTGGCTGAAGTGATCCCCCTGCCTCATTCTCTCAAGTAGTTTGGACTATGGGTGTGCCTGGCTAATTAAAAAAAAATTTCATTGTAGAGACAGAGTCTCACTATGTTGCCCAGACTGCTATCAAACTCCTTGCCTCAAACTATCCTTTTGCTTCAGCCTTTCAAAGAATTGGGATAACAGGCATGAGCCACTGTGCCTGGCTCACAAAATAGGATTAATTTTCACTTTTAGCTTATTTATTCAGTATTCAGAAGTGCAATTATTAATTCTTGGTTCTTTTGCCATGTTCTACAAATATTTGAGTGCTTACTCTTATCGGTGATTGATGCCAAAGACTTAATGAATCTTCAGGGGAGGGAGAAGGTCTTTTTTAATAATTTGAGTCTGAGCATTGTTTTTCATTTGATGTTGGGATAGTAAAAATGCTCAACAGAAAAAACGATTATGTATCACCTCATGTGGGATCATTTCCAGGATAAGCAAGAGATCTATATTAATTGATGGCTATTGCATTACCTTATAGATATATCTTACCTTACCTTCATTACCTTATTCATTTATCAGCAAGAAAGCTTCTTTATAGTAGAGCCAGGAGATCCAGGTTGTAGGGAGCCTCTTTTAATGTAGAACAAGGCTATTGAGTGTGAAAGCTTATCATCCAAGGCAGAGTGTACGCTGTACTCTGAAAATTATTTTATTATTGTTCTTGGAATCTATCCTATTCCTTAAGAAAAATTATTCTTGGCCTGGAGCATTAAAAATGATCATCTTCTCTGTGTCCTTTATGGCAGTATTAGTGTATTTTTTTCCTCTGTGCGTCATAAGAAAGCATGAGATTTCCATAAACATTGGAAAACTAAGGCTATCTGAGAAAGATCCCCTATATAAATACCATGCTAATGGTTGTTTGGGAATGGCAGCTTGAGTCTTTCATATTAGATAAAATGGGAGAAAAAGGAAATGATACCAACCTATTTCCATCTTTTAGATCATAATGGAAAGTAAAACTTACTTTTGCTCTTTTATCTTTAGAAAAATGTTTATTTAAATCTTCTCTGTTTAAAATTTGACTGCACAAAGCAAAGGTGGGAGAACAAACAAAGCCAAGGTTATTGTTGCTGGTTGAAGGGGAAAGAGGCATGTTGAGGCAGCTTGGTGAGGCAAAGAGCATCAGACCGAGTGTGAGAAAACCCTGTTCTAGTTCATACATAAGTAGGTTGAGTGACTTGCAGCAAGTCCCACTCTCTTTAGGCCCACTGTTCTCATATGGGTAAGTATTGTCCCCAGCTCCTTCTCATTCTGACATTCCCTATTTTGGCAGACTATTATATTTAGCAAGAAGATAACATAAAACATAATTTAAAAGAACCATTCTACTTTTAATTAGGCTGATTAACATCTCCAATTTCTTTTTTTTCTTTTTGAGACAGAGCCTCAAGCTACCCCCCTGGGTAGAGTGCTGTGGCATCACAGCTCACAGCAACCTCCAACTCCTGGGCTCAAGCCAGTCTCCTGCCTCCGCCTCCCAAGTAGCTGGGACCACAGGCACCCTCCACAGCGCCTGGCTATTTTTTTGGTTGCAGCCGTCATTGTTGTTTGGTGGGCCGGGGCTGGATTTGAACCTGCCACCTTAGGTGTATGTAGGTGGCACCTTAGCCACTTGAGCCACAGGCACCGAGCCAACATCTCCAATTTCTAAAGAAAAAGGCTGACTTTTAATAACTAGAATGAAGATTTAAAATCCAGTAGAACCTCTGTAAGTTGACCACCCAAAGGACTGTAACAAACTGGTCAATGCACAGAGGTGGTCAACGTAAGGAACTAGGCCTACTGTATTGATAATGTACATGTTGTGGATGTCTGCTCTGTGAAAATAAGGTCCACTTAAGGAGGTGGTCAATGTAGGGAGGTTGTCAACTATAGAGGCTCTACTGTAATTGAAATTAATCTACCAACATGAACAAATTCTTTTAAAAAGGTCAACATATTGGGCGGTGCCTGTGGCTCAAAAGGGTAGGGCATTAGCCCCATATGCCGGATTCAAACCCAGCCCTGGCCAAAAAAAAAAAAAAAAGTCAACATATTTATAGAATGTTTAACTCTTTTCTGGATATGATAACACTTTGCTGTCTAAAAGTTACTAAGTGATTTCCCTATATCAAACCTGTAGGTAATGTCAGTCCCTTTAGAGTTGCTGAATATATGCTGATGTTCAGGAAGCCACTAGCATCACTGGTGACACTGATCAAGGCTCCATCAAATGTCACAGAAGGCTGATCACTCAGAAGAGACTTAAATTTATTGTAATTATGTCTGTAAAGGATTCTGTTAGAGGATCCAGGAAGTTATTAATCTCAACAGCATCTTTTACTGCAGTCGAGCCTTTATAAAAGTATGACAAAAATGAACAGTTTTTTATTTCTTGTTGAAAATAAAACATTGAAAATATTGGCAAGAAGCTTTTCGTGAGTTCTCAAAATTGAATTGAACTGGTATGTCTTACTGTGTCTTAAAACAACACACCAAGATCATAAGTCAGAAGTGCTGTGGGGAGAAGAATGTGCCAGTCCATAGAGAGAGTTGTGGTTTCTCTTTTGAGATGAATCCATGATTTTTCACATTTATGTCATTTGCTGTAAATATTCAAACTTGAGTCAATGGCTTCAAATAATAAGTACCAGGTGGTGGTAAACTAAAAATTAACTTTTTTTCTTTTTAAACTTCTAGGTAACATTTGATCCAGAGGTGTTTTTCAACATTCTGCTGCCTCCAATTATTTTCCATGCGGGATACAGTTTAAAGAAGGTAAGAGGTTTTTGCCAGTATTTTTTAAAGCATGTGAATCTCTGTGTTAATTTACCTGCATAATTTTCTCACTTTATTCTTCTCCCACATTGCTTATTACTGTATTCAGCACCCACTCAGAGTCTCTAGTTGACTCATCATGGGCAATTCATTTCTGTTTTAGAATCTGGAACTCTCAGACATTGCCAGTGGGAATGTAAAATGGTACAGTCAGTCTTAGAAACAAATTGTCATACAACTCAGTAATTTTATCCCTAAGGATTTATACCAGAGAAATGAAAATTTATCTTCACGTAAAAACCTGTGCCTGATTGTTCATTATTTGTAATAGACAAAAACTGGAAACAACCAAAATGTCCGGTAATAGGTGAATGGTTAAATAAACTCTGTACATTAGTATCAGAATACTACTCAGTAATAAAACAGAAAAAGGCCAGGTGTGGCAGCTCACATCTGTAATCCTAAGACTCTGGGAGGCCAAGGCAGGAAGTTAGCTTGAGCTTAGGAGTTTGAGACCAGCCTGAAAAGGAGTGAGACCCCATTTCTACTAAAAATAGAAAAAAATTGCCTGTAGTCGTAGCTACTTTAGGAGGCTGAGGCAAGAGAATCACTTAAGCCCAGCAGTTTGAGGTTGTTGTAAGCTATGAGTAAGCTACAATGATGCCACTGCACTGTAGCTGGGGTGACAGAGCAAGACTGTGTCTCAAGAAAACCTATATGAATACTAAAGGCATTCTGAATGAAAAAAAAAATCTCAAAAAGTTTCATATTCTATAATTTCATTTACATAGCATTCTGGAAATGGCAAAATTATAGGAATAGAGAGCAAATTAGTGGTCAAAAGTGGTTAAGGTTAGGAGTGTGGGAGTGTGGTGACTATAGGGGGGTAGCAAGAAGGCCATCTTTTTTTTTGAGACAGAGCCTTGAGCTGTTCCCCTGGGTAGAATGCCGTGGCATCACAGCTCACAGCAACCTCCAACTCCTGGGCTCAAGCGAGTCTCGTGCCTTAGCTTCCCAAGTAGCTGGGACCACAGGTGCCCACCACAACGCCCGGCTATTTTTTGGTTGCAGCCGTCATTGTTGTTTGACGGCCCCGGCAGGATTCGAACCCACCACCTTAGGCACCGAGCCAAGAGGGCCATCTTAATGGTGATAGTACAGTTTTGTGTTTTGGTTGTGGTAATGGCTATGCAAATTTATACATGTGATAAAATGACAGGAAACTATGCACATACGTTATACTAATGTTGGTTTCCTGTGTTGACATTGTATCATATTTATGTAAGATATAGCCACTGGGAAAAACTGGGTGACCTCTCTATTTTATCTTAGAAATCTCTGTGAATCTATATTTATCCTCAAATAAAAAGTTTTAAGGAATCTATTTTTATCATTGAGGGTCATTGTGCTATGCAGCAGGCTTAAGCCTGTAGTTATTTAAAATACCAAATACTGGGGTGGGCACAGTTGGTCATAGCTGTGATCTCGGTACTTTTGGACACTATGATGGGAAGATTGTTTTATGCCAAGAGTTTAAGACCAGGCTGGGCAACATAGCATCTCTTGAGAAAAAAAAAATTAGGTAGGTATGATGGCACACGCTATAGTTCCAGCTACTCAGGAGGCTGAGGCAGGAGGATTGCTTAAGCCCAGGAGTTTCAGGTTGCAGTAAGTGATGATTGTGCCACTGTACTCCAGCCTATGTGGCAGAGCAAGACTCTGTCTCAAAAAAACATTAAATTAGATTAAAAAAATAAAGTACTGAATACCTTTACAAATGGTGTAATGGCTCCCTCCCTACCCAGTTGTGGGAAAACTAGTCCCCCCCAAGGGCCTCCCTCAGATTAATAGCCATGAAGCTTGTCTCAGTACTTGTTCTGAATGAGGACCAAAAGAAACCTTTTCAATGATTCTAGAGAAGAGAGATCTTGCCTGAACAAATAAAACTCAGCCATATCCTCAGGAACTGGAGAATGGCTCCCAAATTGATAAATTCTAGCTAGATCAATCAAGAACATAAGAGGAAAGAAACAAATTACCTATTTCAGGAAGGAAAGAAGAAACATCACTACAGGTTCTTCAAGGGATAACAAAGGAATGGTACTAAGAACCATTTTGTGACAACAAATTTGACAACCCAGGTAAAATAGACAAATTCCTTGAAAGACACAAATTTTCCAAACTTACCTGAGAAAGGGGTAGAAAACTTGAACAGACCCATATCAATGGAAGAAATTATATAATTAAAAACATTCCCACAAATCCAGGTTGCTTCAGTGGTGAAGTATATCAAATAATACTAGTAATTTTATACAACATCTTTCAGAAAATAGAGGAAGGACTACTTCCCAACTCATTTTAAGAGATAATGCCTGCCTAAAAGTTGGGTTCTTCTTTCAAAGCCACTCTGCAGTTGTTAGAAGGTTTTTCAGTTATTTCCAAGCAGCATAAATATAGTTATAATTTATGGAGTATCTGCTCTCTATTAGGAAATTTACATATATTCTTTCTTTTTGTTGTTGTTGTTGTTGCAGTTTGGCCGGGGCCGGGTTTGAACCTGCTACCCTCAGTATATGGGGCCGGCACTCTACTCACTGAGCCACAGGCGCTGCCCTTTTATTTCTATTTTTATAAACATTCTTTCTAATTTTCACAGAAACTGTAAGAAATTGATGGTGATTGGAGATTAATTCATGCCACTTCTCATCCTGGTTTCCAACTAAGTGATAAATAGACACAAAGAGTTAATTTGTGATTAAATGATTGATTTATGATTCAAAAACCCTGGTAAAAACATACTATAGTATATATCTTAGCCCATAGTAATGGGGCTCCTTACAGTCTACCTAGGGAATTGAAGACACAGTGATATCCTTTAGCTACTGAAGGAGCTATGAAAATTTCACCCCAAAATATGATTCCTTGGTATAAAGATTATTTTGAATTAAAGGATATTCCTAATCAGGAAACTCTGGACGAAGACGTTCCTCGATCTCCCTAAAATCTTAAAGGGCTGCACCTATATGTTCCAGTTTCTCTCCCCCCTCCCTTCTAAAAGGAGTGTTTAAAAGCCACTGACTATCACCAAGACTTTGGGAAATCATTCTTGTGGTTCCCCTCATGCACATGGTATTTGGAAATAAACCTTTCTCTTATTAATCTACCATAACTGTGAGTTGATTTTTTTTCAGCGAACCAACCTAGGGGAAAAGGGCAAGTTTCCCTGGGACTTCCCTTCACTCTTCTGTATTGGTCAGTCATAGGTAGGGAGGCTGAAATGGAGAGATCTTATAAATTGCTGGGCCTGACAAGGCTTCTTCGTTTGCTCAAAGCATGGAGGGTAGAGGAGCAAGAACAGTCAGAGTTAAGCTAGTTTCCTCCCTTCAGAGATCAACGGATCCCTTCTTGTTATATCACCTTCAGGGCAAAACAGGAGAGGAATGGAACATAAGTCCCCTCTCCACAGTGGATGGTTGAGGAGCAGAAGGCTGTGTTTTTTTGCATACCAATTCAACACACATTTGTGCACTCAAATGTGGAGTGTGTCTTCCATTTCACTGATGATGAAACCAAACTCACAAAGATTAATGATATGTATGAGGCTATATAGATAGTGCAGGACTAAGTCAAGTTTATGCCCTCTCTGTCTGATTCTAATGCCCAGAGATGTTCCTTTGTGCTTCACTGACTCTGGATTTAGGTTTTCTCTACCAAAAGACCACATCCTTTTCCTGACTAGTCAATGGAGTTGCCAGTCATCTGGATCTCCGTGTCATCTATTGGCACATAACAGATAGGAAATGGTTATTATTGGGTATAAATAATGTTATTCTGGGCTTAAATGGAGAATTTGGGAACTTTTCTTAAGATCTAATGGGTGATGAATAATTTGGCCTTTTAAATAACTAATCTTAATGAATAATCAAAGTCGTAGTTGCTTTAAAATGAAACCAAATCAGGAGTTGTGAAAGTCATTCTAACGGTTGAAAAACACTTTAGTTTTTTGTAGAACCTTCCCTCTATCAGCCCCATTTTCTCAAAAGAAAAATAACAGGCTTTTGCCAGTTCCCAGTCAATTTAAGTTGTTTTTGAAATGCTTGTCTGAGTGGAAAAAAAATTACAAAACGTGTTTTCCTTTGCTCTCACACCACGGCAATCAACACAGAAGACTTCTTTAACCAAATGTGTGGGGATTTCACCCCATCAACAAGCAAACAATCAGTTCTGCAACAGACACCAGCTGAATGTCCTCCAATTTAATTCTGACTTTATCTGCCTAGAGATACTGTCAGGTTCCACAGGTTGAGGGCTCAGTCTCCAAAATGTCCCCCACTTGAGACACCAGTCCCAAGTCCGGGCCTCTGAGACTTCTGACCAACTGACTTGAAGTTGGGGTTCCTATAACCTGCTCTTTGGATTTGAATAATTTATTGGAGCAGCTCACAAAACTTGGGGAAGCACATTTACTAGTTTATTTTAAAGATACAACAAAGGATACAGATGAAGAGATACATGGGTGATGTATGGGAGAAGGGGTACAGAGCTCCCATGCCCTTCCTGGGTAATACCTCCAGGAAGCTCCACATATTCAGCTATCTGGAAGCTTCCCAATTCCTGTTCTTTTGGGTCTTTAAGGAGACTTCATTGGATAGGCATGGTTGACAACCACGTAGAAATATGATTGTACAAAAAGGGTATGATCTAATACTTAATTGATTAGGGAAACCCAGCCAGCCCTGTTTAGATTCTTCTTGGTCTCTCTATGTACCATACCTTTCTCCTGGGTATGGAGCAGGGCCCCTACTGAAATAAGCATGTTAAGGCCTATATTAAGACAATGTAGTCAGTGAATTTATCTATGGAAAATATAGGGGAAGATTAGAGTCCTGCCTTGGGAAGGAAAAGGATCAGGTGAAAGGAGGGCAAGAGAAGGTGAGAAAGAGATTCTATTTTCTGAGGCCTGTTTCTGTGGCCCAAAGCAGCCCATTATAACAAAAGAC